CATCCATCCATCCTCTCCCACTCATCCTGCCTGTGCACACATACATACACAGTTGTGGGCCTGCAGCATGCTGCACATCCAGCAGCGTGCAGGGATCTGTATAAACTTTGTTTTAAAAGGGAAAATGTTTGTCTCAAAAAAAAAGAAAAGGAAAAAAGCAAATGAAACGCAAGCCTTCAACCTAACCTGTGTGCATACAGCGAACTTTCTGTCGTCTGTAGAAAATGCCCAACCTCGTGCCCAAATGCTGGAGGTCTGAGACAGTTGGAGTGCAGCAGGGAGAGAAACAGTGGTTTCCAAGGACTGATTAGATGGCATGCCAAGTGTATTAAATTTTGCAGACATTTTAACAGCAATATGCTAGATAGTTGGGTGTCCCCTGAGGCTGCTGGATTTTTTATATCCTTCACAGAAGGTCAAAGCCCTCTTCTGCCTGCCCCCCTCCCTCTCTCTGCTGTCTCTCTTTCATTCCTCGTCCCTTTCTCTCTGTGTCACCATCCCTCACACTCTCTCTCTCTCTCTTCCCCCCCACCTCCATCTTACTTTTTTGGTGCACTTTCTCCTTCTATGTTGCTCTGTGAATATAAAATAAAAGATCAGTTATTTGTGAGTTCCCCCATGAGTGGAAATTTGCACTCCCTGTGGTCTCCTCACACAGAGATGGATATGCTGGGGCTTTCCCCTCTGTTTTCTGCACTTTGTTTTGGGGAAAATATGTTTTCCTCCCATCACTCCCCAAACATCAGTGCTCTCCCCCCATCCCTCCTTTTTTTTATTTATTTTTGTAGCAAAAGGAAAAAAAAAAAAGGGCAGGAAAAGAATCCATCTGGCATATGAATAATTGAAATGGCTCAACTCTGTTCCTGTTGCTGTTGTTTGCTCTCAGTTCTTCCTCCCCCGCCCCAGCCATAGCATCCCCCTGGGGTATGGGAGTTGGAGGTAAGGATGTATTGATTCCCTTGAGGGAGGTGGTAAGGGGGGTCAGCGTGCAGCTCATACCCTGCTTGCAGAGCCCTGTCCTGAGGACAGTGTGTGTTAGAGTGGCACAGGGGATGGGAGTGTTGCTTTTCCCCGTGTCTCTGAGGCTCCCCTGGCTGGCCCAGGAGCCCTTTCCAAGGTAATTCCCAACAACAGCCCACAGTGCCATCAGCCTTTCTGCCAGACTCCAGCTGCCACAGCGTGCCCCTCCGAAGTGGTGACAGGTTTTGGTCTCCCCACAGCATCTTCCTCTCTGCCTGCTCGCTCCTGTGCCTCAGAGCCTTCCTGTGTGCTCCCCGCTCCACGGCAGAGCCGAGCAGGGTGGGAGCTGCTGTGCCAGCCCTCCCCGCAGCTCTCCGCAGCTGCTCTGCACAGCCAGCGCCTTCCCGCGGGGCAGAGCAGGGATCCCAGCGCTGATCCCTC